CTAGTATAATACATTATTTTTGGTTTTTTTTAATATAGATTTTGACTCTATTTTAAATTTGTGAAAATAGGAATTCTTTTTTTAGGACAGAGGATAGTAATTTATAAAATCTTTAATTATTTTATTGACTTTATTGTTGGGTATGCGTGAGTTTAATTTCAAGTGATATTTGTATTAGTTTAAACAATAATGTGATGTATAAAAAGAATGTTTGAAGTCTATGAATATTTTATAATTTTGGAAAAGAATATTAGTGGATTATAAACAGCCTGACACAACAACAATAAAGTATATAAGCAAATTGTATATTGCATCGCCAACTAACCATAAATTCCCTCTATTTCATAATACATGGTGGGTTATACACTGTTTTTTTTTTAAGAACCGTCATATTAACAGTCGATGAAAACTTCATAAGAATTTCTTTAGTTCGAAGCCTATTAGCAACACATTTTTTTAAAAAAATTCATTTTTCTTTTTGACACATCTCATTTTATTTCTGAAATGCATAATCTTAGTTCTACCTTCAAGCCTGCCCCCTCTCTTGACCATCCTCATTAATATAATTACTATTACTATAGCTCTATCTACGGTAATCAAATTCGTACAAATTCTTTCTTGACTTTAGTCTCAAAGACCTTGCTGCGTACACCAAAGTGGCATAACCTTACTAATCCCACACCAACTTATCCTCTGTAAAAGAATTGAAGCGAAATACATGCAAGTAACCATGGGAGAATGTTGGAAAACCAGCAACCCAAACAACCTTGCATATTTTGTTAGCGACTTCAATTGGCATCTCTGCAGATGTAAACGCAAAAATGGCTACACTGTTTTGTCTAGCGTTCTCATCTCTTTCGCAACTGAATAATTGATTAGAGAACCTCATTCAAAGGCAGTTGTGTCAGCTTGAACCTCCCAAACACCCATCTTTATATACTAAAAAACAATATCTCAAACTATATGACATCCATGCATAAAATATAAGAAAAGTAACAAAGGTTTCTCTGCTTTTGCTTTGCATATAAATAGTTAATAATCTGCCTGAGCCAAAAATGATAGTATACCAAATTTGTTTCTAAAATGAAAATGTTGATTAGACTCACCAATCATGAGCTCCTCCACCAGCCTCCTTCATACCATAAGTTATACCGAGTATATTCCAGCTGTTAGCCTTCTCACACCATATCAATCAACACCCAAACCCTTAGTTAAATAAATAAATGTATAAAATCACCCCATTGGAGAGACTCTTTTCATGTTTTTCACCTAAAGACCAACCAATTTAAACAGTAGATACAAGTCTAATCATTAGTTAACCAAATCTAAAACAAAAGCTTATAACCAAACTGTCTTTTACATTTGTTTTACACACATACATATTAATTATACATATTGATAATATGTATACACGTGCATACAAATTTTCGACATAAATAAATAAAGAAAAGTTTGCATTTGTTTGTAAATAAACTTATCAAAACTTACAGATATTTGCTGATGATTTCCCTTGAGAATGCTACAATAAACACTATTAACATAACAAGAATTATATATCTCATCAACCAAATATGGTAAATTTTGTAATTGGCTAATTGCAATTGCGAGACATACTCCCTTTTTGACATTAGATGCTTCGGTTATATTAATTTTAGTTATCTAATCACATATTTGAACTGATCAAAGAATATAGACCAAAATCAACAAGTTTTGTTAAAAATCTCCAAAAAAATTTCACACATTGATATATAAAATTGAAAGTTTGTATAGAAAACTACTTCGTCTAATTGATGCCTTCCAATTTCATCTTCTTATTATTGAACTGAGGCTGATAACCAAAAGATTAGCATTCAAATCATGTCCCGCATTAAGAACAAACAAACAATAGAAAAATAAAAAGACAAATGAGCGAATTCAAGAAAAATAAGGAACTTTCATGTTAGAACTGTTCCCCTACGTCTATCCGTAACTCGGTTCATATTAGTCCCCATAGTCGCTTGCATTCTTGATCTCTTGGCATGACTATGAACAACATTAGATTTCCATATATTGATCTTTCTGCTCACTCTTCGTCTATCTTCTCTCGCCCACATCCATGTTTGGCTTTTCAAGCGGAGGTTGAATTGGAGAGATCTAAAATTGAAATCCTAATACAAACACAAAGATGAGCATAAGTGAGAAAAGGAAGCTGAATTTATTATATAAAGAGATTAAGAGAAAATGAATCGTTGGACGATTTTAATGTTAGGATATGAAGAAGAGAAATCATAGAAATTTTGTTTGACTGCTTACTGTTAAGATGTTAACTTTTTGAAAAATATGTTAAAATAAAAGATACTAATTATTTCAATATCTTCTAAAACTGATAACTGATATGACTGATATGTCAGCTTTGTGAAACCTCAATCACTCTTTATATATTCCTTCTGTTTCATAAAGAGTGTCATTCTGACATTTTTCACACATATTAAAAAAATTATAAAAAGTATAATTTTATCCCTTATTAATACATTAAATAATTTGTTTTTATCTAATAAATACATTAAATTAATAGGATTAAAACTGGAATATTAATTAAAATTTTGTATTGAAAATATAAAACGACACTCTTTGTGAAACAAAAATAAAACCTTAAACGACACTCTTTGTGAAACAGAGGGAGTAATAGACTAGGGGTTGATCCGCGCTTCGCGCAGAATTTCGTATTGTATTTGTTGACATATTTAAAAGAAATCTCTACAATATCAATTTTTTCATTAGATTTTGTATTTCAAAATTTTATATATATTTATAGTATTTAATAATTTAATATATAGTATTTAGAAAATAATCAAATAATATATCAATTAAAACTTCAAATCAAATTTCGTTTGTAGATATATTTATATTTATCTGGGTTTATGATTTTCGAATATATACAATTCTTGATTATTGCATTCAGAAAAATATATGTAATAGGCAATTAATTATTTGAAAATATCTTGATTCTCTAACGTATTTCTAAAATATATTCATAATCTCTCTTTTTCTCTACACCCATTTCCCTCTCCATCTCCATCTCCCTCTCCCTCTCCCTCTCCTTCTCCATCTTCATCTCCCTCTCCCTCTCCCTCTCACTCTCCTTTTCCCTCTCATGTTCTCTCTCATCAATGCAGCATGTTGAACCACACACAACATATTAGACCGGTTGAAATTTCTATCTTTCTCGGGATTTTTTTTTTCCTAGCCACTCTCAATGTCACCTCTCTAACCTAAGCTCTGTATAATTTTTAAGGGGAACTTCACCCATTTTATCTTTTAAAGATTAGGTTGAACATGTTAACATTTTGTGATACCACAATTTGTTTCATAAAATATGCATTCTCACATATTTATGTTATTATTTAAGTAGTCATTTTAAAAAAAAAAGATTATTTGTAAATTATTACATGATATGCTATTACATATAACAAAAATAATTAAAATAGGAAATGATATAATTGTCACTCAAGCTTTTTGAAACTCGTGCGAATATTCTTTACCCGTTAATATGCATTTAATTTAATTATCTATTATTCTATTTTTCTTTGAATTTATATTTTTTGTTATATTCTAGTGTTTATAACGGTTTTAAAACAAATTTGGATATTTTTAGATATTAAAAATTTTGGATCCGAGAATTTGTTTCTCGAATTTAGCAAAACTGGATCCAAATCCGGCTATCTTAAAATTTATGGTTTACTATTCATATCTATCAAATCATATAAATAAAATAAATTATTTAAAATAATAATGAATAAATGCATTAATATATAAATTATTATTTATAAAGAATATCTTTTCATATTCTTCTTAAATTAATAGATAATAGTTACCATGAGAATTAAAGTATAATAACACAAAATATAATAAATTATAAATTAATAAATGAATTGATGATGTGTCAAAATTTTAGAGTGAGAAACGATGTGGCATCATGAGAAGAGAGAACATTTTACTTTATATATATATATATATATATCTTTTGTTATATTCTAGTTTTTATAGCGGTTTTAAAACAAATTTGGATATTTTTAGATATTATAAATTTTGGATCCCAGAATTTGTTTTTCGAATATAGCAAAACTGGATCCAAATCCGGTTATCTTAAAATTTTATGGTTTACTATTTATATCTATCAAATCATATAAATAAAATAAATTATTTAAAATAATAGTGAATAAATGTATTAATATATAAACTATTATTTATAAAGAATATCTTTTCATATTCTTATTAAATTAATGGATGATAGTTACCATGAAAATTAAAGTATAATAACATAAAATATAATAAATTATAAATTAAGAAATAAATTGATGATGTGTCAAAATTTTCTCATGAGAAAGAGAGAACATTTTACTTTATATATATATATTTTTTAAATAAAACTATAAAATTATGTGTTACATAATAACATTGTTTTTTACTGTTTTACTATTATGCATTATTTACATTTCTTATATATGGTTGTTTTTATTGTTTTCTTTTTTAAAATATTTTATCAAACATGTATTACACTTTGTTTTCCCGAATTTTTGATTTAAAATTTAGTCTAGTCTATTGAAAACAAACCGGACCATATCGATTCGAGTTTTTTTTTTGTCGACCTCATAATCTACGTGCAAGGGATGTCTAAGAAACGCGGCGCTTTCGTAAATAACAAAAAAAGTTAGGTTGTTACTGTTAACATTTTGAAATGTTCTGGTTTTTTAATATCAGTCAAATTAATGAATTGGTCAAAAAATATTTAAAAAAGGAAAAATGGAGAGAAGAAAAATGCAGAAGGTGGAGTGAATGGCGTCACCAGAGAGGCACAACTCACGGGGAATTGAGCAGAACCAATACCCACCGGCACCGGTTATTATTTATTCTTGTTATCATCACCCAATTTTTTAAAACTTTCTTAAAAATTAATTTGGATTTTTTTTTCTCAATTTTTCGAGGATTTTGTTTTTTCTAATTTTTTAATATTTTAATTTCGATTTTGCCACCCAACTTCTCCCACTCCTTCACCACTGTGTCCCGCTTTCTCACCTCCATCATTCATTTCATTCGTTTTTTTTCCCATCCGTTTCTTTTCTTCTTTTATTCTTGTTTTCTTCTTCTTCTTATTACCTTAAATTGATTTCCTAACTCTTGGATGTCGTGTTTCCGTGCGTTTCAACTTTCAACAAACCCATCTTTTTCTTTTCTTTTTATTCGTCTCTTAAGATTCTGAATCTTCATCAATTGGCTCCTTTCGATTCCTTGTTTTGCAGGTTTTTTCTCGATTTAATTCATGAAAAGAATCAAACTTTTTTCTCTGGGTCGCTGTGATGATGAAGATTTTTTTTTTCTTGTGTGTGTATTCAGGATCTGAAGGAAGCTATTTTTTTTTTGTTTCTTTCCTTCTGTAAATCGGTTGAATTTTTGATGGGTAATCTCTAAGAGGTATAAATGTTCTCTTACAAGACCTTTGAGTATGTCTTCTTCTTTGAAGTGGCCAAGTTGTTTTCATGTTCGAAAGATTTACCTTATTTGACAATTTTGCTATATTTATTTTGCCTATGCTTTTGTTATTTATTTAGCTGAATCTTTGACCATAATCAATCAATCTCGTTCGTGTATCCAATTAATAGGCGAGATCATAGAAACTCAAATTTAATATTCAATCTTGATTCTCCCAATATCTCTGTAGATTATGATTTACAAGTTTCTCCATCTGAATGTTTATGAAAAATCAATCAACCTCTACTTGCTTATATTTATATATCCAGGCCTTGGCTGAAGGATATTTATTTGAAAGGTCTTAGTTTCTCAACTTTGTCTCTAGTTGGATTGTAATCTGTATTGCTTAGGATAGTTAAAATCTCGGTATGTCTTGGCTCTTCATGTTAGGACTTAGGAGCAAAAGAAGTATGAGTTTTTCATAGCTTTCAGCTCATGAGATTCATTTGCCTGCAGGTTTCTTACTTTAATTCTATTGAAAGTTGAATACTTTACGGCTACATACACAAAACGGTTAAGCACTAGAGAAGATGTTGGGAGGCAACAATGAGAACCCTTTGCCGCAAGTTCTAATGAACGATAGCCAGTTTCAATACCAGACAAGCACATCGTTGAGTCAGCTTCACTTGCTCGGAACCAGTTAAGTATCTGAATTAGTTCTCATTTGCTTTGAATCTTGTCAAAACATAATAGAGCTAAAGCTTTTTTGCTTTGTTATGTGGTTACAGTGAGAGCTGGTTGCGCTATTGATCCTGTAAACTACTTTGCTAATGATAACCTTGCTCCAATGATTCGGCATAATAGCAAACGCGGAAGAGAAACAAAACTCAACAATAATATCCAGAGACAACAGAAGCTGCAGATCTCTTTGAATCATAACTACAATAACAGTAGCGTTGTTCAAGATGAAGCCCCAAAGCAGAACTTAGTGTCAACTGGTCTGAGACTATCTTATGACGACGATGAGCGAAACTCTTCTGTAACTTCTGCAAATGGAAGCGTCAAAACTCCAATCTTTCAGTCACTCGGTGACAATATTAGATTGGACCTTGATAGACAGAAAGAAGAGCTTGATCAGTTTATCAAATTCCGGGTACTAATCCTATCTGCAAAGCTTATGTTTTTCGCTTATATATCGCATGTTCTTGAGATTGTACTCTCTTTTGGACAGGCGGATCAACTCGCTAAAGGTGTGAGAGACATAAAACAGAGGCATGTCACGTCCTTTGTCACGGCCTTAGAGAAGGATGTGAGTAAGAAGATTCAAGAGAAAGACCAGGAGATTGAAAGCATGAACAAGAAGAACCGGGAACTAGTGGATAAGATAAAACAAGTGGCTGCAGAAGCTCAGAACTGGCATTACAGGGCAACGTACAATGAATCTGTGGTTAATGCATTGAAGGTAAATCTGCAACAAGTGATCTCACATGGAAAAAACAACAACGCAGCAGGATTAGTAGTAGCTGATCATCATCATCAAGTAAACGAAGGGTTTGGGGATAGTGAGATTGATGACGAGGCTGCCTCATACAACTACCGGACCATACCGGGGATGCCAAGTAGTACTGGGATGAGATGTAAGTCGTGCAATGCAAAGGAGGTTTCGGTCTTGCTTGTGCCGTGTAGGCACTTGAGTTTGTGTAAAGACTGTGATGTGTTTACTGGTGTTTGTCCTGTTTGTCAGTCTTTGAAAACTTCTAGTGTTCAGGTCTTCTTCTCCTGAGAAGAATCCATGAAAATAGAGTCTGTTCTTCATACTCTTGAAAAGTTGATTATGGAGAAAGGTGAACATATTTGTATGTTATGATGATGAACAAACTTGCTTGAGTCTTTGCTTTTGCCATTGAAACCATGATAACACTAATCAACCAACCCTTCAAACTCTCTCGGATACATTCATTTTGGTATTTGAGGCCCAGGCCCATGTCAAAGACACGTGAATCTCACGTGATTTTATCCTCCGACAACGAACAAGCTTGTGTTCATACATTCATTTTCTCTTCCTCACAACCCAGCATTCAAATTCTTCTCAATATTTTCCTAGGTTTCTTTGAGATTCTCGCGAGTTGCGACTTCTTCTTCTGAGAGTCTCCTCTGAAAGACCGAGCCTTCTTGCTCCGGCCATCGCTTTCCAGGTCGCCGGTTACTTTTTTAGTTGTTAATTTTTATCTTCTGTGTGCCGTGTGCGTTATAGTAGTTCCATCTTCTCTAAATTGAGCCAAATGTGTTGTGATTATTCTGGCATAAATTCTTGCCAAAATCTTTATAATTCTCCATTCGATGTGGACATTTATGTTTTGTAATGGAAGTTTTGTCATCTTTTGGGTTGTTATTAGACAAGTCAAGTTTTGCCTTCTCTACAACTTACATTTCAAATGCTTCAATTCAGTGATGGAACCTGTTCTGCACACTAGAAGAAATCATACGTTTGTGACCAAGTTTTGAATGAAATCTATGCAAAGATTGAAGGATTCGTGTTAGAAAGGTAAAAGTTCCCAACTTCAGTTTTTCTTCATCTTACTCAGTTTATGTCGGAACAAAAGGTTTTAGTTATAGGGGTTTCTAGAATCTCAGATTTTTAGTAGTTTCTTGTTCTAGTGTTCTTGCTCTGTTGCAGTTAACTGAAAATCTTTTCTTCTTGTTTTACAGGGAATTGAAATGATGAGATTGGTTTCTCTCTGTGATATAAATTGTGGGTTTGTTCCCAAAAAATCAGCTGATTTGTTTGTAAAACCGAGGTTCAGAAGGTAGGCTTTAGTGCCTCATTCAATCTGCATCCCGTTTGATTGTAATCAAGAATTGGAAATAAGAGATAGATAGCTTTGGATTATATCTAAAAGCATTGTTCTTTGAACAAAATGATTCATCTACTCTGACTGTCACTAAAATTACTTAGCTTAGCTTCCCAGAGGAGATATCATCACAAGAACGGTATTGGATTCGATTGCACGAGAGAGATGGAATGTTAAAAGAAGAAGAAACCTTGGAATTGGGACAGTCTTTTGCAAGAGCTATGGAGATACAGCAAAAGTGCATCAAGAAGAGGAAATTCCAAAAGCAACACTGATATGGAGAGCAGTCAAACTACCCATTTACTCTGTCGCTTTGGTTCCTCTTACGGTATGTTTTCTCCAGAGACCTTCCATTTCCTCCTTTGCCTTTACATGTTATGGAATATTCACTGCTCAAATGCCACAGGTTGGTGCTTCAGCAGCTTATCTAGAGACGGGCTTATTCCTAGTTAGACGTTATGCGGCTCTAATGCTCTCATCAGTTCTTATCATTACTTGGCTCAATCTAAGGTGATTGATTGATTGCCTTATCTAATGCTTTGGTTCCTCTACCGTATTTACTCTATCCAGACATTGTTTTATGGCAGCAATGATGTTTATGATTTCGATACCGGAGCTGATAAGAACAAAAAGGAATCCGTAGTTAATATGGTTGGAAGGTAAATAAGAATCAAAGAATAGAGTTTGCAACTTTGAAGTTTATGTTTTTATATTCCCTTCCTTAATTATTTCTTTTCACATGGTTTACTTGGAAAAGCCGGACAGGAACCTTAGCCGCTGCAATCACATCGCTTGTGCTCGGTGTTTCTGGTCTGGTTTGGACATCTTTGATAGCAAGTAATATCCGTGCAATACTATTGCTGGTCTCGGCAATATTATGCGGCTATGTGTACCAGGTGAATGTTACTGCATAGGTGAAAATTTGATACTAATATTTAGGAGATTCTAATTTGAGTGATAACTTTGAAATTGGTTTAGTGTCCGCCATTTCGGTTAAGTTACCAAGGATTAGGAGAGCCTCTATGCTTTGCAGCATTTGGTCCATTTGCTACTACTGCTTTTTATCTACTTCTTGGTAGCTCAAGGTACTATCAAAACCTTGTTCTAACCTTAATCAAGTTCTGTTTCCATGAGCTGTTAATAACCGAAACTGGTAAATCGGATTTGGCAGCGAGATGAGGCATCTTCCGTTAAGCAGTAGGGTCCTTTCATCATCTCTTCTTGTTGGTTTTACCACATCTCTCATCCTTTTCTGCAGCCACTTTCATCAGGTTAGTTAAAGAAAACGCGGTCTAACAAGTTTTGAAATTGATGCACACAATGCTGATTACATTTTATATTCTACAGGTTGATGGAGATTTAGCTGTGGGGAAATTTTCACCTCTGGTACAAATGTGCAAAACTTAACCCGGTTTAATATTGAATATGATGATGTGTTTTTGATGGTTTGAGTGTATTTTCTTGGTTTATACAAGGTTCGTGTAGGGACTGAAAGAGGAGCTTTTGTAGTGAGATGGGCTATTCGTTTCCTCTATTCGATGCTTCTTGTTCTTGGTTTAACCAAGATTTTGCCAGTAACTTGCGCAGTAAGTTTAAAACAGATTTCAGAACATGAGAAAAAGAAAAACAGCTAAAAACCTACCTTTTTTGTTATGTTGGGTGTTTCAGTTGATGTGTTTCCTGACTTTACCCGTTGGGAATTTAGTTTCAAGCTATGTCGAAAAGCATCACGAGGTAAACGAATAAAAAGAAGAAAAAATATTTACATTTGGAAGATTGAAATACTTTGTTTAATTATACAATCTTGAATGCAGGAGAATGAGAAGATATTCATGGCCAAGTATTATTGTGTGAGACTCCACGCATTCTTTGGAGCTGCCTTATCGTTGGGACTCGTCATCGCTCGCTAGATCACTTTCCAAACATTTATTCTTTTGTTTTTTCTTTGGCCTTGTTGTATCTAAAATAAAATCAAACTGATTTATAGCCATTTGCTGGTATTCTTCTCCTCATGCACGGTTTTTTTTTTTTTTTTTTTTTCAGTGCTCCAATTTATCAATTCTATACTATTTGTTTGAAGAAGAAAAAAAAATTATACTATTTGACAATTTCACATGTAATCTCCTCTGCATGTTCCTTCTCCTCTTGAATGATCTCCTCCTGATGGTCTACTCATGCATTGTGTTTTGCCGTCTACGTTACTCCAATTTATCTGACTTTAGAGAAATTAGTAAAATAGTGTTCTATTTATTTTAAATTATATACTTCTGTATGTTGGACTTTGTTCTTCTTATGTATATTATTTAGTACTACTCTTGGTAGCTGTAGGGCAGTTGGAGATGAACGATGGGGAAATTTAATGACATAACAAGTGAATATGAGTTTCCATGGATCGGAGATGATTTTATAGTTGCTGCGAACTCTAGCGAGATTTGAGAAGAAAGTGTCACACATGACACATATACTAGTATAGTTTGTAGTTTTTTTAATATGTCGAAGAAGCAGACATGATCTTAACATATGTAGTGTCCGTAAGTTTCCACCAACATCCAAAATTGGTAAAATGTAAAAAAACTTACAAAATTTATATTAAGTCTTGGCGGTCTCAATGATAAACTAGAAGTTTCGAACTTTCACATAAGTCAAATTCACAAACTAGAATTATCATTATTTTTCTCACTTAGACTCTCTTATTTTTTAGTACAAAGATAAAGTGCGAGTTATCCCCAAAGAAGAATAAGATTGACGTTATACAAGCTAAGGACGAGCCTACGAGATAACGTGCATGGAATGCTAAATTGTTAACAATCACTTATGTTTTCGATTTAGTGTCGACGGTTACCAACACCAATTATACCGCCATCACCATTTGTACCACCAGCACCACTAGGACCATTAGCACCACTAGGACCATTGGCACTACTAGGACCACTGGCAACACCAGCATCACTAGCACCACCAGCACCTCCCGCACCACTGGAACCACCCGCACCACTGGCACCTCCAGCACCAGTGGCACCACCATCATGACTGACACCACCAGTACCACCAGCGTTACTTGCACCACCAGCACCAGTAGCACCACCAGCACCACTAGCGCCACCAGCACCACTAGCGCCACCAGCACGACCTGTACGACCAGCTCGACCTGTACGACTAACGGCCAATATCGCGGACCCAAAAATATTTTTTAATGAAAATATAACTAAGTATTACAATAATATATTTTTAAGTATAAATAAATATAGCTAGGTTTTATTCACCAAAAAAAAAAAATATATAGCTAGGTTTATATGGATCAATCATAGCATGTTTACCAACTACGGTGAATTTTGTTTGCACAATTAGCTTACAAATGAAAATTCTATACTATTAAAACATGTTCAGAATTAAAAACTAGGTTTAAGGTGTTATATTTCACAATATGCCATAGGACATGTTGATTTTACTAGGGTCTCATTAGAGTTATTTCTGTAATTGAGGATGCAAATGTAAACCTGTTTCAACTATAAAATGTTGTCGTTTCTTTGTTATATAACGTTGTTTTCTATGCATTTTAAATTGCTTATAACCTACTGTGGGTTAATTACCTCCGGCTGAAGAACCCAAATTTAGATAAACCTGCAAATCAAAACAATTATATACTCATTATGAGAATCATGCATAAAATGTGAAACATGTCATAGTTTTTGTTAAATATGTCATAGTTTTCAGAAAATTTAATATAGCTGATTGAACATAAATATGCAGTGGTGAACCCAAAATGTTTTGTAACCGTTGTCAAAATATAACTAAGTATTAAATTGTTATTTTACAAAGTAAAAATAAAAAAGGGTATCATAAGTTGGATTATATAGATCAATTAAAAGCATGTTTACCAATCAATTGAGCTGAAGTTTGTTTACACAATTAGTTTACAGATGAAAGTTCAATTATTTTAAAGGTGTGAGATAAACCTCCATAAGCCCTTTATCAAAAAAAGAAGATAACCTCCATATATACATGTGGGTCCGCCACTGCTAGCAGAACTAGCACCACCAGCACCATTAACATCACCACCACTATCTAAATATCTATACCACTATTACCTTCGACACCAGCATCAGCATCGCCTATTCCATGTTTATGATATCGGCTTTTGCCATTGCCACGACCGTCTATACCAGAGAGTTGTCCCAATACTTGAGTTAACATCAGTAACACCATCACACATGCCATTACCGAACCCTTTCTGATGAACATGATCCCCATATACTCTCTCTCTCTCTCTCTCTCTCTCTCTCTCTCTCTCTCTCTCTCTCTCTCTCTCTCTCTCTCTCTCTCTCTCTCTCTCTCTCTCTTAATATACACACACAAGCTCACTCTGATCAAGATACATGTATAAACCCATACAAGCTCGATCAGTACACGCTTTTTTATTACATAACTTGGCGAGAAACCCTATTTATAGCCAAAACTCCATTAACCAGCACCAATACGTGTCCTCTAATCCCTGGTTCATAAAAAAAATATTTATATCCACTCAACACTCTTAAATGTTGAAAACGCGTCCAGACTCGTCGGTCAACGTAAATACGCAATATAAATTCTACAAGCAGTACGTAGCACTTTTAATAAAGCTGAAAAGGACGTTCACTTATAAGAAAACTCATGCATTCTTGCTGTATTCATGTAACATCTGTAAAGAAAACAGCGATGGTGCTTAGCACTAACCCAAGACTGAGAAACCCAAAAAAAACCAAGAGACTAAACCCTCCAAGGATGAACAAGAATATAGAAGAATACTTAGAGATCACTTGAAATACTTTTAGAAGGATTTAGAGAACTTATAAAGAGGAAGACTCTTTGTTTGAACTCGCTTTATTCACTTGTTCAACTTTTTATCTATTCTCTAACAAGAGGGTGATGAGATATTTCTAGCCTCTAAAGATCTCTTTCACAAATTCTATATACTTCTACAATGACCTCAGCTAGATAGTTTCCTAAATCTATAAAATTTCCTACAACACTCTAATTATTTTAATTACAAATTGTCTAGATGTTTCTATATTATTATCAATATATTTAGCTTAAAAATTTCTCTAGAACACTTTAAGAAGGTAATTAATCTAATACAGTGTTATTAGAAAATCCCTAGAATTTTCCATCATAGACCCAAATTAAAATTAAGCTCGATCCAAAATCAAGTTTAATTTCAATAACATCAACATATTAAATAAATCTGATAAGTAGTGGTGATCAAATATATAACTCATGCATTTTTCTTAGTGGAACATTGAAGCATGTCATCAAAGGAACATTTGGACCACAACTTCTTAGACGGTCAATTATTGGTAATATGTTCTAAGCTGTGACTCAATAAACACATGAGTGCTTAAGAATATAACCTGCGAACAAAACTGCCTTCACATTGCTGATTACATTTAGATTCGACAGGTTAAAGATATTTAGCTGTGGGGAAATTGTGGTACAATGCTGATTACATTTAGATTCCATGCAAATGATGTGTTTTGATGATTTGAGTGTTTTTCTTTGGTTTACACAGGTTCGGGTAGGGACTTATAACAGAGGAGCTTTTGTATTGAGATGGGCTATTCATTCGCGCTATTCGATGCTTCTTGTTCTTGGTTTAACCAATATTTTTTCAGTAACTTGCATAGTAAGTTTACAACAGATTTGAGAACAAGACTGAAACAGAAAAACATCTATCTGTACATATTTTTATATTGGGTGTTTCAGTTGATGTGTTTCCTGACTTTTTTTCTTTCTTTTCTTTGGAGTACTTGTTGTATATATTAATATATGATATAATCAAACTGATTTATAGCCATTTCCAGGTATTCTTCTTTTCATGCACGGTTTATTTTCGTTTCCTGTACTCCAGTTTATCAATTTTGATCTGTTTCCTTATCAATTCTATACTAGTTGACAATTTGACATGTACTTTTCTTCTCAAGCACCGTATCCGGTGCTTTATTTTAGATCATATGTAGTACCATTCCACCAACATCCAAAAGTTATCTAAATATGTACTATTAAATGTTAAGAACTTACAAAGTTTTATGAATTCTTGGTCGCAATTATAAACTACAAGTCTCGAACTTTAACATAAGCCAAAACTTCAAATTAAGTTACCATTATTTTTCTCACTTAAAACACTCTTATTTTTAGCACAAAGATAAAACTACAAAG